GGAGATGGGAAGGTTTGCACAGTCTGGTTTGGAGGTTGGAGCAGGGCAGGAAATGCAGAGGGTGGAGAAAGGGAGGAGAACAGGGTTTGGCAACCCCGCTGGGAGTTGTTTAATAAGCAGCCTAGATTCTAGGAACAGACCCATGAGGTTCAGAAGTGGAAATGACCTAATTTGTTGAACAGAAAATAACCCTCCTACATGGGGTAGGAAAACTGACCAGACTCCCAGTGCTGGAGCCTGACCCGACTAACCAGTGGCTGCTGTGAGATATGAAGGGGGCACCCACCAGTGAGGTATAGGGGAGCTGCCCCTCCCTTCATATCCAGCTCCTCACAATGAGAAGGGTGTTGGGCTTCCTACCAGGGAGCTCTCCCTGGACCCTGCTAGCGGCTCCATCTCCTGTATCAGTCTGTGGCTAGTAGGTATATGATGGATCTGCTGGGAGAGACAAGGGGCTCTCTCTTCGTCCCCTCACCCTGGTGTTTCCTGGATGCTCTGAGTGGGATGGGGGTGGGACTCTGTGACTGTGATCCATCCAGATCGCATTTGATCGCATCCTTCCATTTGATTGGCTCCTCTCCCCCACAAATAGTTGTGCTGTGAGTGGGGCAGCAGGTACTGAGTGTTGGACTCTTGCTCTTTCAGGGGCTGGTGACCTTCGAGGAAGTGGCTGTGTATTTCACGAACCAAGAGTGGGCTCTGCTGGACCCCACTCAGAGAGCCCTCTACAGAGACGTCATGCAGGAGAACTATGAGAATGTGACCTCGCTGGGTAAGGATTCCTGTCCCGTCGGTTATTAGAAGGGGAAATGAAGAGATAAGGTTCATGTCAGTCCCTCAATGCCACCTCTATTCTGTCCTCTTTCAGCATCACCCCAACATGCCAGTGACACACACACTACCAAAGACCCTTCCCTGCTGCAGAACACTTTGGGAACAGAGCACAGGAGCAGTATTACACAGTGTCAAGATCTCCTATTTGCTCAAGTAAAACTGGGAGTTAAGTCCAGCATAACCAACCAAAGGTTCCTACCCCGACCTTCTCTCAAACCCTGAGCCTGCTCCACCCAGACCAGAATGTGCTTGGGGTGTAACAAGCAGGCTGCTGGAGTCAGAGCTGCTGGTCCAGGGTTACTTATCACACAGACACTCCGTGCGTTCTTGAATGCTGGCTGGGGGTATCCAGACAACGGAGCTCCAGCAGCAGAACATTGAAACTCACCCAGGATTACAGATGACAGAACTCCTCACTGGTCTGGATTGCACCCATGCGTGTGAAAATGGCCTAGGTTGGTAGTGAAACTTCCTGAGACATGGAGAGTCTTGCTCCCCCACCACCATGTGTAATAGCTACAATCTCTCTTCTCTACAGGCTCCTCGGATCTTGGAGTGCATCAGTCCTGAAGTCACATGACCTGATTCTTATTTTTCACATTCTGCTTTTCCAGACTAATTAGAGTCTGTTACTCCTGAATTATTGCTTCTAATTTCCCAGTGTTCTCCACACCCAGGGATTTTCATACTCCCTCCCTTTACACTGGACTCACTAGATTCCCTAGTACATAAAACCGGCCATAATGGGTCAGACCAAAGGTCCATCTAGCCCAGTATCCTGTCTTCTGACAGTGGCCAATGCCAGGTGCCCCAGAGGGAATGAACAGAACAGGCAATCAACAAGTGATCCATCACCTGTCGTCCATTCCCAGGTTCTGGCAATCAGTGGCTAGGGACATCATCCCTGCCCATCCTGGCTAATGGGCATTCATGGACCTATCCTCCATGAATTTATCTTGTTCTTTTTTCGAACTCTGTTCAAGCCTTGGCCTTCATAACATCCTCTGGCAAAGAGTTCAATAGGTTGACTGTGTGTTGTGTGAAGAAATACTTCCTTTGGTTTGTTTTAAATCTGCTGCCTATTACTTTCATTGGGTAACTCCTAGTTCTTGTGTTAGGAGGAGGAGTAAATAACACTTCCTTATTTACTTTCTCCACAGCAGTCTTGATTTTATAGACCTCTATCATATCTCCCCTTCGTCGTCTCTTTTCCAAGCTGAAAAGTCCCTGTCTTTTTAATTTCTCCACATATGGAATCTGTTCCATACCCCTAATCATTTTTGTTGCCCTTTTCTGAATCTTTTCAAATTCCAATATATCTTTTTGGAGATGGTGCGACCACATCTGCACGCAGTAATCAAGATGTGGGTGTACCATGGATTTATATAGAGGCAATATGATATTTTCTGTCTTTTTATCTATCCCTTTCTTCATGATTCCCAACATTCTGTTCACTTTTTTTTTTTTTTTTTTTTTTTTTTTACTGCTGCTGCACGTTGAGTGGATGTTTTCAGA